CCAGCCCCATACCCCTCCCACTCCTATACAATTTGGTAGCCTCTCCCCCACCATGATTAGTCCCGAATCATCCCCTATCCCCTCCCCACCACCACCACCACCCATACGCCACCCGATGACAACTCGTGCACGGAGTGGCATCTTCAAACCCAAACTTTATTCCACCACCACTCAGCCCTCTTCCCCACCTACCACAGAGCCAGTTACATATAAGGAAGCCTCCCAGAATAGTTATTGGTGTCAGGCCATGGATGAAGAATATAATGCCTCGATTAGTCAACACACGTGGGATCTCGTTCTGGCACCTTCAGATCGTGTTCCTATTGGGTGTAAGTGGATTTATAAAATTAAACATAACTCTGATGGCTCTGTTTCCAGGTACAAAGCACGTTTAGTGGCAAAGGGATATACACAGGAATATGGCTTGGATTACTCTGAGACTTTCAGCCCAGTTGTTAAACAGCAGACTATTCAGGTTGTTTTGTCCCTAGCTGTGAATCACAACTGGCCTCTTCATCAGTTAGATGTCTCCAATGCTTTTCTTCACGGAGTTATCCCTGATGAAATCTATATGAAGCAGCCTCCAGGTTATGTCGATGAGCGCTACCCTCATCATGTGTGTAAACTACAAAAATCCTTGTATGGTTTGAAACAGGCACCTAGAGCTTGGTATCAACGTCTCTCCGGATTCCTTACTGACTATGGCTTTGGGAAAAATGAACATGACACAAGCTTCTTTGTTAAGCACTCTCCCTCTGGTGTTCTGATTGTTCTACTCTATGTTGATGACATCATTGTTACTGGTAGCACCTCCTCCCTCATCTCTTCATTTATTCATGCTATGCAACAAGAATTTCAAATGAAGAATCTTGGCCCTCTTCACTATTTTTTGGGACTTGAGGTGACACGCACAAAGGATTATCTGATCTTGTCTCAAGAGAAATATGCCCGTGAACTGCTTCACAAGGCCGGCGTCGACGACTGCAAAACCGCCCCTACGCCGCTGCCTGTTCGGCCGACCGAAGAGGGGGAGAGTCCCCCGTTTGACAATCCTACCTTCTTCCGCAGCCTAGTTGGATCTCTTCAGTACTTAACCAACACACGGCCAGATATTCAATTTGCTGTGAATTATGTTTGTCAACGTATGCATGCACCCACTGAGCGGGACTTCCAGGCCTTAAAACGTATCCTTCGCTATGTCAAAGGAACCATTGATCCTGGCTTAATATTCAGGCGTGGACCACAAGTCATTCAGGCATACTCTGATTCAGATTGGGCTAATGATATGACTGATGGACGCTCTGTTACTGGTTACTTGATATACTTTGGCTCAAATCTAATCTCTTGGAGTACGGAGAAGCAAAGCCGCGTGTCCCGGTCGTCCACTGAAGCCGAGTACCGAGCACTCTCGGCTGCCGCAGCTGAAGTAATGTGGCTCACCTACTTGTTTGACATCCTACAGATTAAGCTTCCTCCACCTCACCTCCTTTGTGATAATCAGTCCACCATTTGTCTGACAAAGAATCCTGTCTTTCACAAGCGAATGAAACATGTTGGTACTGATTGCCATTTTGTACGAGAACAGGTAATTGCTGAACAAATGACAGTCTCGTATGTTCCTTCTCATGAGCAACTTGCAGACCTTCTCACCAAAGCTCTCTCCTCACCACGCTACTCTGCATTGATCGCCAAGCTTCCGCTCGTTTCACGGCGTTCAGCTTGAGGGAGGATGTTAGATAAATATGGAAATAGTTCTAGTTATAGAAGAATTATTATTATAGTTAATTACCATACTTGGAGAAT